TCGAAGGCGTTTGGAAAGGGAGGGGGATGAGTGTGTATCAGTGTATGTGTGTGTCCAGAGTTCAGCTGAGACAGTGTCCTTCGCCCTGCCAGGCTTAGTAAACAGTCTTCCAGCCAACCCAGGTGGCCTTGCATGGGGGAGGAACAGTCTAAACACAGTCGTTATCAGGGTGTTGTTGTTCGGCTCCAGCCTTGAGACCACAGCTGGTGCTGAAGCAGTATCCACATGAAGTGATGGTGGTTTTTACTTTAATGCGAACAACTCATGTGAATTTCAAAGCTGTTCTGACAGTCCGACACTGGTCTCTCAATCTCCTGTTGGAGAGCCGCGAGCTTCTCCATGATCTTATCAAACTTACGCTCTGTGATGTTGTCATTCTTGTGCTCAAAGAGCCGATTCTGAGAACTCACGACCGCAGTGAGCTTCTCCAAGATGTGATCAATTTTCGCTCAGAGGTCTTATTCTGAGTGTTCACGGCAGCCGTAAGCTTCTCCAAGATCTTATCCGTGCTGCGCTCAATGAGCCCATTTTGAGAACTCACCACTCGTCCCATCGATTCAATCCCAGCGGGCAGCCTTGTGGGGTTTTTTGCTTTCTTTAATCTTCGATAAGCCAGCTCCGGTCAGCAAGAACCCTGTTATCATGGTTCCAAATAGGTAGATATCTTCAGCACTCAGGCTCACCCGAGCCCAGACTTCTCGTTGAGAAAAGGGTGTTAATTGCATTTAGGGACCAGTTGATCAAATCCATAATTCCTCTTTAGGTTTTAGAGAACAGACTGAGAGAGAGTGTTCCAGGGAAAAGTAATACAAAACACACAAGACTAGACAAGGACATAAGAGGCAAAGCAGGGAAGATAAGTGTTGTGATATTTTGATACCATGGTAGCATTTACAGGATATTGTTTTATAGTGATATAGTGATACAGGAAAACTGTTACTCAATAAGGCCCATTTACTAGTTGTTTTTCTCTTTCTCTGTGACCCAAGAATTAATGTGTAAGAATCACAGGATGGTACCTCAAGGTCGAAAACACCACAGAGATCACTTCCTTACTCCCATCCTCCCTTCTTTATCTCCTAGAAAAGAGCTTGTTAAAGGCCAGGTGGTTTGTTTCAGAATTCACTAATGAAAGAACTCTGTATTCTATGTCTAGGAGTGTATTTTGCTGGAATGATCATAAATTGTAGCTGAACTGATAAACTACACAAAGGATACTTCTTTGCTCAGAAGGCAGGAAGACGTTTCCTTATTTGGTCTGTACCGGTTTGAACTGAGAATCTGCTGACACACGAACCTTTTTTTTCCTCTATATAAACTGTTGTATGATGAATAAACCTTTGAGTTGATTTTGGAAGAGCAACCTGAAGCAGTTTCTGTGTCATTTTGTTCTCCCAAGCTACTCCCGGCGCTGTAACTAACCTGCTGAACGGCATACCTGAGCTTACTTTGAATAATTAATTTTATACAGAACTCTGCTTATCGGTGCTCACGCCTTGGAGGAAACCCGATCCATGGAGAAACCCGGGACGGAGATTTCTTTCAATAAGGAAGGAGAGGAGAAGAGAAAAGTGTGACCGCCTTTGCCAAGAGCCAAAATTAAAGTGCTGCATGCTTATACAACAGTTTCAGACAGGAGAACCTTCCTTGGCATTGGGTGTGATTTGGCGCTATATAAATAAAATTGAATTGACTTGAAAGGATAAGCGGAAGCGAATGGATGGATGGATGAATTGAATTGAATTCAACATCACAGCAATCAGCTGCATGTGACACTCACACTATTCTGTCATGAAACAACATTTCTCAGGAAGTGGACCCCAGATGCAGGACTCAAAACCCTAACCTTTATCAAGGTTGATTGCAGAGTGCAGCAAAGTTCAAGATCCACGAGAACATGGGGCAGAAAACAGAAACTCACAAGGACAGGACACAATTCTGTTAGCTGGAATCAAGAGTTGTTCCTACCAGCTACTTTGTAATAGAATAGAATAATCCTTTAATTGTCCCACAAGGGGAAAATTGGTTGTGACAGCAGCAAAGAAAAAAGCACATATACAAACGAAACAGGACACAGAACAGAAACACACACAATTTTTACAGAAAAAATATTTAAGTCATGTACAATAATTACAAAAACAGAGTACTGTACATATTAAGATTAAATAGGAGAGGGATCAGCATTTATGTTGTTAAATGTTTTTGCTTGTAAGACTTGAACATTTAACTGTAGGATAGTAGATATTATTGGACAAAGGATGCTAGAACCAGAGCTTCAAAGAAGGAGGATAAGAAGAAGATCACAGAAAAGGATAATGGAGTACATACAGAGGGTCGGTGTGACCGAAGACAGGGTGAGATGGAGGCAGATGATCAACGGGAAGAAGAAGAGTTTAAAGATTTGTCTTTACTTTGAAAAGGCACCATTTCAAACCATCTCCAGCTATCAGCTGTTGAAACTGCTGTTCTTCTTGTGCGTCCATGCATTTGACCACCAGAGGGAGACAACGCAATATATAGTGCACTCGCCGAATTATTAAATTGAGACGATGTATAAATCTGAGGACCTGCAATTACAGAAATTTGTGTTTATCAGAGTCAGCACGTGAATGTTAAATCATGTAGATTTTACTGTTCTGGGTGGAGGGTCAATGACCATTGCAAGTTTTGTGTTTTTTAGCACACATGCAACAAAAACTCTATTTTTCTATTAAAATCTATTAAAATCATCGTTCTTCTGTGTTGTTTTTCAGAACAATACACTCCCTACACGCTGCAGTTTACTGTTGTCTGTGGCTAAATTACCTGTTTTTACATGGAAGAAAATTTTGTCTCTTTTCTAATTTGTCATTTTCAAAGGTTGGTTTTTATGTGCCTTTAAAAGTTAGTTGGACACAACTTCTTATTATTTGAAAATGGAAGCGACATAATATGCGTATGGGTGATGAGATCTTTTAAAACTATTAAATTGTGCTGAAAAGTCATGAAAAGGACCTTAAATCCCTACAAAAATGCAAATAGTCAGTCATATTTTTAAGTAGGGTATTTATTTAATTATTTATAAACGAGTAGCCGTGTGTTTAGGGTTGCCAACCGTCCCTTAAAAAACGGAATCGTCCCGTATTTAGAAACAAAAGTACACGTCCCGTATTGAGCTAAGGGACGCACTTTGTCCCGTAATACAGTGAGAATCAAAAGTAGTCTATAAATGTTAATGGAATTAACGCTTTGTTTGAAAACATAATTCCCAGCCCCTCTCCTGCTTTGTGACCAATGAGCTGACAGCACACTTATGACAATTCGAGTATGACAATTCAGATTACCGCTCATCTCATTGGTTGAGGAAAGGTCGCTTACGGAGAAAATACCGGAAGACAACCGATGACCACAACAACAAGCATGGCCAACAGGGAAACAAACGCCGACACTGCGGTGCAAGTCTCGGACGGCACACTGTGCCTCCATAACATGAAGGTTATAACAGAAAATCTGTCGCTCGCTCTCTCTGTCTTTCACTCACACAGACACACCACCACATCAGCTTTGCTAAATTGCTAATGAAAAACATGATCAGCTGTGATTGAGCAGCAGTGTAAATCCAACTATTTTCATGGTTGTTGTGGTCGTGATAATTTTGTGATGCCACATCGAAAAGGCTCGGATGAGCTTTCCAAAGTTCTACAAGTTGTGCCTCCATCGCTTGTGTCCAGATCACACGCTGCACAGCCGTGCTGCTCCATCTTTTTCACCGACGTTTACGTGTTTGCGTGTGAGCAGCTGCGGTGACACCCTCACGAGCGATTGATGATCGGGAGCTGGTCGTGAGGTGTTAATCGCTTCTCGTTACCCCACGTATACTACACGATGCACGATGAAGGCCACAATCGGGCCGATCACCAAATCGGTCGCACGACTCAAAAATCGGCTCAAAATGGGCCAAAAATCGCACAGTGTAAGCCCAGCATTAGAGCAGCAATGTTTGTTCCCCTCAGAGAAAGAAAAAAAAAAGGCTGCAAAAGTACAGGGAGGAATGGGAAAAGGAAAACACCTGGCTGGAAAAGTGCACGATAACACCTTTAAAGCGCACTGCACTGTGTGCCGGCGCACTTTTTCCATAGGCATGCTTCTATTGGTGGGCACATGAAGAACATGAGGGGCGTGAAAGCTCGGGGAACCCTTTACCAATTTTTTGTCCACCAGGCCACGGCAGAAGCAGATATGGTATGTAAACACTGGTTTGTTTTTTTTAACCCTCTGGTTAAGGTTAATATGGGCATGTGCAGTGAATATCAGCGCTATGTGGCCAGAAGTGTGATAATATAACTTATTTTGTGTAATAAACAAATGCAAGGATAGATGATTACAACAAATAGATGACTAATACATAAAAGTAATACATAGATGAATAATGATGATGAGTTATGATGCGTAATCATGGGAACAAGTGGGTTTACAAACAGGAGCAGCTGATTAGCTTTAGAAAAGCTGAAATAATACCTCAACTGAAGCCAATTGTACTAAATGCACTAAATGTGCACTGTTACAAGAATATTTTTGTTCTATTGTTTTCTATTAATTTATATAATTTTAAGTTAAGTAGGACAGAGTTCTTTTAAAGAAAGATTTACTTATATTCTCAAAAGTTAAGCATGACAGGCTTCTGTTTAAGAAAGAGACCTGTTTTACTGTGTTAATGTTGTCATTTTGAGCTAAAAATAAATGGCTAAATGATCATTTGTTTCCCATATGGTCATATCACAAAGAATATACATCTGCTTAAATCAAGTTCAAGTCAAATGGTTAAAAAATAATTTCACACACAAAAAAAGAGCGACAAAATTCACCACACTGGGAAGGGTGAAGACAACTGGGTTGCCCGGCCCTGGCCACGAGGTGTCCCTTATTTATTTTTCAGGGAGTTGGCAACCCTACGTGTGTTGCAGTCTGTCAGCTTGACGAATATGAGGACCATAGGTCGTATTTGAATATCCCGCCTCGTCACCGACTCCTCCGAGCTTTGCCGAGGCGGGGATTCACACAGCTCTCTTCTCCCGTAGAGTTAGTAGTGTGTTGGGAAGCTGCACAGAAGCTCCGGTCACTGAAAGGTAACTTTTATAAAGCAGCTCTTATACTGCGAATGTTTCATTTTCTCATACGACGCGCAGCAGTGGAGCGTTATCAAAGACTGGAGCGTTTTATTTAGCCCCCCGCCTTTTCCTCTTGGATGTATCGCTTGAAGAACTAGGAACGGACCGCGCAGCTCACCGAAGCCGGGATGAGCGGGACCTCCGCGGGGTCGGCCGCGGCGCCCTGCCGCTTCGCGCACTACTTTGTTATTTGTGGAATAGACACAGAAACGGGACTTGAACCGGACGAGTTAGCAGGTATGTGGCTTCTTTTCTGTTGTTGAGTTATGAACGTGTTTTAAAGTCAAATGGAACCGCAGCGGTCCCCTCTCGCTTAACACGGTGTTGTTAACTGTAACGATCCATCCACCGCTATGGAGCTCTGGCTTTTTATTGTAAACCATTTAATACATTTATGTGACATATAGTGAGATTTCAGAACACTCTAAAACACAAGTGACACACACACACCTTTACAAATAAGTGGAATGAAACAGTTACTTCAAAGAGTTACTACAGGGCAAATAAGCAGTGTCTATACATTAGAATAAAGATATGCATCATTCCTGTCTGATCACAGTATATGAGCTGCGGAAACCAGTGTCATTTAAGGTAATAAGCTTTTGAGAAATCAGCAGTAACCTATCTTTTCCGAATCCTATAATCTGATCTGGGCTTCCTGTGCTGTGCTACGTCTCAGAGCTGCTCTGCAGCTTCAGTGTCAGTGTTTCCCAAATGAATCGATTTTGACTTTGATGCTTGTTGTGGCTTAAAATTATACATTTTAAGTAACTTTTACAGCAAAATAAAGACATGTTTGGATATATTACGCGTTCTTCGCCGGTTTGTTTGTATGAGTTTTAATAGTAAAATAAAAAAGCATAGTTACGTTCAGTACTACCACAGGTGTGGACTAAGATGGGGATTTTGTCTCCACAGCAGAATGTATTTTTTGACATGTAATTCCGGCAGGATCCCTGTTGTGTATTCACAGAAATCTTTTTCATCCTGGTGACTGAAGGAGAGCCGATGTCTGCTCTTCAGTGGCACCAACCTCAGTTTCAGCACGTTTGCTTTGTCACCAGATGCATTCACTCACGGGCTCAGTTTGTATTTTCTCCCTCTGCAACAGCCAGAGTGGAGGTTTTTTTTAAATGCACTGTGGAAAGCTTTGCTTTGTGGATCAACAAGAGAGTTGCTTGCTGTATTGCATCACAGTTGAATTGTAACTTTTGCCTCTGGGGCAAAGTTGCGAATCGTAAAGTCAATGTGTTCATGTTGCACACAAGTGACTTGGCTTAAAGCCTGGATGATTAAGTGAAACGAGTGAAGTTAATCTAGAACAAACGAAACTGAACATATACACAGATATATATTAAAATTTTATTGAAAGGGGGAAATAACTTCCCAGCACTGGGTTTCATAAACCAATTGCTTATCCTTGCTTTCCATAAAGACACTGCTTGACTGTGGCCATCTGCTCAGCAGTGATGCTCCTCTGCTGCACTGCTGAGATACAAACTGTAAAGGCATCATTTGTTTAAAAAAAAACCCTTATAAGTAAGTATTTTAAAAATATACTTAAAACTACTGTGGTGGGAAGCTACAGTTTTATACCAAAGATGCATTATATGCTTCCTATGCTTTAAACTTCATCAAAGGTGATCAGTGGTGAAGTGGCCAGCTTGGTGAGGATTCCCAATGGGCTGTTTAAAAAAAGAAAATCACAAGATTAGTTAGTCAGCTCTAAGAGGGAGCCTCTGGACCAGCTCAAGAAATCCTTCATCCCAAATCATTGAGCTGGTTCTGCTCAAATAGCGTATCTTTGGCAATTTCATCATACGTACTTTTGGGACACAACAAAGGCTGAAAGATGATGTAGTATAGCCTCATCATGTTGTCAAACTATTACCATGAAAAATCCCAGTCGAATAAAATAGCCTGTTGTTTGGGCTCTCAGGCTGTGAAAAGAAGAAATCTTATCAGGAAAAGAATATGGAATCAGTTTTTCTTATAAATGAACTAAATGTTTATGAATACAACGATAGTAAAAAGTGTGAAATAGCTGCTCTGACTGTCTGTAATCAGATCTGCTGCCACGGTCTCTGGTGATCTCCAGTTGTACACAAAGATAATGTTGCAACGATTGATTGTTTGGTTGTTTTTCAAGCTTAGGCAGCATCTCAGCACCCCACTTATTCTTTTGCCCCTAAGTTAGAGGCAGAAACAAACAGAGTGACCCACATTAGGCTGTTTTTGCTTTTTTTAGGCTGCGACTCCCCTCCTCCCAGCTTTTTGTGCGCTACTGTGGCCTTATTTCCGTCTGCTTATTGTTTTACTAAGAGGACCCAACTTCCTGCAGACCTGCCTCAACCTCCTTTTAGAGTTGGCCGTACCTTCTGTCTATTATCATACAAGTGTTTCCCACATGGACTTTGGTGAAAAATAAAGTCCATGTGTGGGTAATTGTATCAGTTTGTATTTTTAATTATATTTTCATTAATTTATACGTCAGAGAAAATAACATCATGCACAATTTATGTCCTCTTGGACAATGCTCACTCTTATTTTTAAAAGTTTCGTTGTTGGTAACCAGCCAATCCTAAGCGTAGTATATCCTAGCTCATTGGCCACTGTGTTGTTGTGGCAATCCTTGATATCATCCACCTGCATCCTTCAAAAGGGGTCTTTTGAGTATGTGAATGTAGTCAAACTTATCTTCTGCTCTTGAGCTGAAATCTTCAGAATCGATCAGCTGGTGAGGAACTTTTTCTTAACTGGTTAATTGTCTCCTGTAAGAGGTCACTGTCTCAGCCCGGGCCCACAGCCCATACCACACCACTCAGCCTCAGGGGTATAAATACATCCTGGCTGTCATACAGGCCCTAAAATAGTTTGTGCATTCTAACACCAGATGCATTCTGGGTCAGCAGCATTGTGGAGTTAAAGTGACGAGCCTGAAAAGCTAACTTTGGGGTGAGAGCTGTCACGTGTAGATTTAGATATGAGGTCATGGCTTGCACATCTCTCTTCTGTCTCTCGATGTAAGAAAGGTATGCGCTCTTGGTGGAGGGGAAGCAGCTGGTGGTTTCAGACCCCTGTAGCCTAAATCTTCCAGGTTACGAAAGACACTTTCATAACCTTTCATTACCATTCCTGTTTGCAGGAATGTATCTAAAATGTTTTCATTACCAGTTCAACTGTTTATGTTAAGCTTGCTCAACTATAAAAAGAATAAACATATATGATGTGATTTCAACTTTCATCTTATGGCAACATTTATGGCAGGTTGTAGTGACAGCGCTGATATGCCTGAGAATCTCATTTTGTAGCAAAAATAACTTTTATCTTATTGGATACAACAGAAACTGACGAAGTTAACCGTGAGAACAGGATTTGCGGTTGAAATAAGGTGATAAATTTGAAATATATGTTATTGCAATACTCAGCATTGCAAAATGTTAAAAATCTCAATAATAATCTCTCATTGTGATAGTGTCATATTGTGAGATGCTGTGTGATCGATCCCTGGGGAGATTTACTTCTCCGATGGGCCATTCTATACCCATTTATGACTCTTAATATTGTGTTTGCACAGTAACCTCCCTTGCTACCAGCTTGGAAGCTGCCCAGTGCAGGTTTAAATATCATTGAAGCACAGGGGCTTACAGGACAGCCGTGACGTGGGAGTGTCTTTGGGCTGCTGCTGCAGGCCACAATGGGATTTAAACTGCTAAAACTCCCCACTGGCCTGGACCATCTGTCTGCACCAGAGCAGCCTGAGAGCAGTCAGGACAACGACTGCATCATAATGGCCAACATGACAAGTATGCTAATGACAGGGACTAACAACAGTAACGGACGCGTCTGTTGACTCACGTTAACAATAGCGTGCATGGGTAATGGACAGATTATATGGCACAGACACTTACAATGGCTAATGACTGCTAACATCTCTGCAGTTCTTGTATTGTAAAAATAATGTTGATCTCATTTTAGAATTTTTAACTCCTTTTTCTTTCCGAGTTTTTGGACGGTGACTCCACTTTTGCCACGCTTGCTACAGATCTGAGTCTTTCTGAATGTGGGTTTCTTTCTTCCACGCATCATTACTTCCTTCTCCTCTCTTCTAGCCTCAGTCTCTTTTACTTTGCTGTCCCCCATTTGTTGCCTCGTGTTCTGTCAGCATGGCCGGCCTGTCGTTAAGCTTTTTAGAGTAATCTGTTTGGACACTTCCTCCAGGCTACACTGAGCACATCTCTGTAATATAACACAGCCAGGCCTAAGCAGTGCCTCCTCTACTCCCCTACACACACTCAGGCTATTGACTCCACTCTGCTTTCTTCAATCTTTGACCAACAGCATCCTCTTATTATAGAACTTGTCACTAAAGGTGGACTTTTTAATGACTGTGGAGGTTTTTGCCTCACTTGACATGGAGACAAAAGTTTTCTCCTGGCTGAGTTCTGATGCTCCCAAAAGAACAACAAGCACTTGTATGAATGTGTGTGTAAATGGGTGAATGAGACATGTTGTATAAAGTGCTTTAAATGCTTGAGTAGAAAAGTACGATATCACAACCAGTTCATACCATTCTGATGGTTCCTCCTTCATTTATTGTCACATGCTTTGACCAAACTCGCTCAAGCTGGCGGAAGCTCTGCCTTTGGTTAAAAAGATCTATCCAGAAAAACCAAAAACCATTGAAGGTGTTGTTTGGTGAACCTGTGGAACATCGAGCTTTCAGGTAGACTTTTGAAGTGTTTCTCCTCAATCAGATTAGATCCCACTCAGTGATTTAACCATATTTAAATTTTTGGGCCAACATATCATGTCAGATCTCGTATAGATTTCCTGGAATAATAATCTGTTTAATTTTGCTTCACTTAACCAAGTAGCATGAAGACAAACAAATGAAATGATAAAATGAATTCTATGGCGTTGTGAACTATGAAATAATTGTCACCTCTCGACTCTACGCGTGCCACATAGTTGTGTCGGATGTTCAGTGTTGAAGAAGATCCCAGATCTTGCTCACAGATGTTGGATTTAACTTTTAAAAAATGCTGCTGTCTTTTTCTTAGTCCTTTACATTTTAGATTGTTAGTTTTACAGGGATTTTATAATTCTGTGTTAAACTTTGCTATAGTCACATCATAACCACAGACCATTCTGAAATCCTACAATTAGAGCTGGGCGATATGAGATTTTTTCATATCACGATATGTTTTTTTCATTTCAGGCGATAACGATATCTA